CGATCGAAGTGATCTTGATTTATCTGAATTTGGTGATTTTTTTCTACTTGAAGATTTTCTTTTGTTGGATGAATCAATAGCGTCGGATGATGCTTGTTGTGATTCACCTGATTCTGATTCTGGTCGTGGAGGTATCGAAAACATTGTTATATCAGTTTGTGTCAGTGGTGTCTTTTCACGATCGTTTTGTGATGACATGTGCGTTGATGATCCTCCTAATTTTGTTATATCTTTTTTATGTTTACTGCGTTGTGTTGAAATTGACTGATTTCCTTCATTTGGAATTGTTGAAGGATGATAAGATTGATCATAACCCATTTGTTGAATTGGGGTTGATTTATCACGTGGTCTTTGTACTGAATCTGGTTGATGACGGATATCGTGTAATTGAGTATATTGATGAATATCTTGTTGAGGAAGTTGCCATACAGAAATATTTGGAATCTGTTTTGGAAGTGGATGATTATTCTGCCAATTTCGAACCGATACAGGATAAAAGTCTGAGTACATATGAATTTATTATTTTTGATTTTTTTGAAATCAATGAATGTAAAAAAATGTTTATTAGCTTACTTTTGAATTCCTCAAGTAAGTACCAGCTTTATCGTGACGCGTACCTTGATCCGAAATTAATTCTGCTATTTGTTCAGCAGATGCTTGTTCCGAGCCACTCATATTTGGAACCTGATGACTACCTAATGGTGGGGTTGGTCCTTGGGTAGACATTCTTTGAATTATTTGCTGATATGCTTGTATACCTTTAAAAAAATCTTGTTCTAATGAATCTTTATTTGTTTCTTGTTGATTCATTTGTATTGCATTTACAGGTGGACTTCTGTGTAAAGGTTTAACGAATGAATGTTCGGTTGGTCTTGAAGCCATAATAGATGAATAATTATATCCAGGATTTTTTTCCATTTCTACTAATCTTGCAAAATTCTTGGCTAATGGACTAACTCCTGCGGTTGATGAACTGGTTGATCCAGTTGTTGAATGTCTTCCATGTTTTCTTGTTGATGGATCAAAATCAAGCTCTGCGGCTTCAATATGTAATTCTCCGTTATCAGCATGAAGGAAAAATCCGGAAATAAAAAATTGTGAATATAACTCCCAATTTACAGCCAAATTATCCCATCGATCATTATCTACTTGATAACCAATACGAAATCTTTGATCAATTGAACGACGAGAATATTGACTATCAATAGATGATTTTGTTCGTACAAATTGTGAATTTTCAAGCTGACGTAATGAACCAGGGATAGGTTGAGTACAAAAACTTAAATATGGTGATGATAATGGTATTTCCTCTGATTCCCAACATCCCGATGATGGCTTCATGAACGGCGTTACAACCGATACATTGATCTAAAAAAAAACGTTGTTGGTTTATTTATTTATTTATTTAAATGGTTGATGTATATCAATATATATATATCAAAATCAATATCAATGTCAAAATACGAAAAAGCGAATTACCGTAATGCATTCTGCTTTATCAACAATCTCATAGGAAAATTTTCCAACCATCGTGACAACATCTCCTTCGGAAAACGGATGACAATATTTTGTCTGTCTAGCACTTGGTAATATTCTATAACGAATGGTTCCAAATTGGTTTTCTTCAAATCGATAACGTGCAGTTCCATACTCTATACCATTTTGTCGCGATTTTTTATCTATTAGAGCGACAACGTGCATAGTCGATGACATTATTGGTCTTTGTTTTTTTTTTTGTTTTGTGTATTATCTTATATCAAAAAAAAAAAAAAAAAAAATCTAAATTTCTGATTTTTCAAAATTTTCAAATTTTACGACAAGAAAAGGGTAAACAGGAAAGAGTCGATGAAAATGGAAAACGATATCTTTTTGTAAAATTTAAAAATTTAATAAAGAAATAGAGTACGAGACAAAATAGAGCTTTAAATGTACAGCCGAAGTGCTTAATATAAATTGCCAGATACGGTAAGAGAAGGAGGAGTAGATCAAATTTCGAAAAGTCAGAACAAGGAAAAAAAGAGTTCAGTTTTTTTCTAATTTTACTTTTTAATAAACAAGGGAATCATGATGTAAGGGGGGGTTCAATAAATATGTATGCGAGAAACAGTGTGACTAATGGTGTGCCGGAATTCCCAACCAAAATTGTGATGAAAGGGTAAAATTTGTCGAATTATTGCTTAATCAGGTAAGCGTAAAAAAAACTATAAAGAATTCAGAAGCAACACAAAGGTAGCATGATCAGGTATAGTATAAAAAAGGAATCCATATTATCTATTGTGAAACATTTGGATAATAGTTTCACAGACAACATGAATAAGATTCCTATTTAAGTCATCCATTTATGGACCGAAACGTTCACCAAATCTTTTCTTGGATTTTGTTAGGGTATTATATCCAAAGATTTTTTTTTTTTTTTTTTAAAAAAAAAAAAAAAATTTATTTATTTTCATCAAGAAATATATTTTAAGGAATAACCCCTTTTCATTAGTTGTATGTAACATTACCTGGTTACGTACTTCCTGTATTATTATCAATTAATCATTCTGATCACTAGTCCCATTTTAAATTAAAGTTTTGTTTTAGCGCCGTCATACGCACATCTCCTTTCATTTTCTGTAAAAAGAAATTTCTCTGAAATCATGTAAATTGGTGTTTATATTATTCAAATTTAGAAAATCCGTGAATACGTTAATGAAGAATCAATTATGAACCGTCTTCTCTCAGTTGATCGAAACTAAAAAAAAAAAACAAATAAAACTTTATCATATATATCATATAATCTGTATAATCGATTAACCATAGATATCATAGAAACCATAGAAATCCATAAAAATCGCTCTTATTTCTCCAATGATTGACAATCTCGTTTTCTTAAAATAACAACCTTTTAAATTTTAAATTCAAAAAAAATTTCTGATCAAATTAAGTCTTATTGTCGACTTATAAAAGGATAGTTCCCTTACTAAATACGTCAATATATACGATTTAAAAAATTCAATTTATATATCGTTATATATCGTTATTTATTGTTAGATTTTATATATAAAACTGAAATTAGCATACGTATATACTTTTTTCGAATTTTGTAAAGCGAATAAAAAATTATCAAAAATACGATTTTCTTTGTCTATTTTTTTTTTTTGTTACTGAATATCAGACGGTAAAAAATTGGTACGTACGTGCGTACAAAATTGTTGAAACTATGAATTTCCATTTTTTTTACGTACGTACGTAAATTACCGAAAATTAATTTGCATTTTAATCAAAGTTTCATAACATGAACAAAATATTTGATTCGCAAAACCTTTTATGTTATGTTATTTCCTCAAATGGATGAAAAACGATTAATCCACAAAACATAAAAATCCTATTTACACAAAAAGAATTATTAGTATAAATTATGTGCTACGATAAAATAAATAAATTTTGCATTTTAAACTATGTTTTACGGTAATAAATGTTTTACAAGCTATACAAGGCATTAGCGTTAGGTGGTAAATGAATTAGCAAAATTAAACATATACGTCAACTACTATGTAAGAATTTTGTATTGTTATTGATACCGAGAATTTTAATATTATTTCCATAAAAGTTATTTTTAAAAGATTTTTTTTTTTACGGTTGAGGAGGAATTGTTTCTATTAAAACAGATTGCTTTAAACTTTATTTTGAAGATTTGTCTTAAAATTATTTTGCAATTTTATAAGATTAAATTATATCAAAAAACTATTTATCTTATAAAGATTCAATAGCTCTGTATTTCTTTTTCAACTTATAAATATAATACTAAATTGTTTTAGTATTTTATCGTTTAAAATTTTTTAAAAAACAAAATTCTCTTTAATACCGTATTTATTAAATAATTAACATATTTTTTATCTATTAAGCACACTGGCAATTATAAATAATGACGTGAATTATTATAATAAAACATAGTAACTATAGAAAATTTTATTTATAATAAAATTTAAAATTTTTAAGAGAACATTATTTATGCACCGTATATGCGATGATATCGCGCCCATATAACTAACCAAGTATATTCAAGATTGGCAGTTATATATAAATAATAATTATCAATATTTATCGATATTTATTTTATTTTTGTTTTTGTATTTTTTTCATATTTGCTAACAATTTTTTGATTCTTTTTACTTTGAAGTTTCTATTGGGGCTGTGTTATAATTATTATCAGTATTACATTTTTAGAATTATTATTGGCTTGTTATTACTTCAGTATTGTTATTAGTATTATTTTGGTTTGTTTTTGCTTGAATATTATTATTGATGTTATCATTGTTTGGTATTATTATTGGTGTTATCTTAATACTAATGTTTTAGTATTATTACTATTTGGCTTATACAGTATTTAGTATTACTACTTTTAGCTAATATTGTATAAATAAAATTTAAACATTTATTTTAATTTTTTATATTATTTTACTGCAAATTTTAGCAATTTGTTATATTATTTTATAGTAAATTATTTTGTTACTTTTTAAAAATTTTATTTTTTTAATAAAGCATAAAGAGTTCTATTTTTATATCCCAAATTTATTATTTATACCTCTTGCAAACTTAACTTTTTTAAACTTTAAGCAAAGCTATCTTAATAATTACCAAGCCAAGTTTGATAAACTTTTTTTTTGAATTCTATAGATTCATGGAATTTAAATAAAAAAAATTTATTAAATTTGGTCTAGTAGTTACTGAGGTATTTTGTTTAAAGTTTAAAAAATCAAAACAAATTGTAAAATATTTTTAAACTTTTGGCAAAGATATTTTAATAATTACTAAGCCAAATTTGATAAACTATTTTGTTTAAATTCTATGAATATATGATAAAATTTAAATAAAAAAAGATTAAATTTAAGTTACTGAGTTATCTTTACACTAAGTTTTAAAAAAATTCAAAAATATCTATTAAAACAAAAGCTGTATTACAATTTTTTTAAAACTTGAGTAAAAATATTTTAGTAACTATCAAGTTAAAATTAATAAACTTTTTTATTTAAATTTATATATTTATAGAATTAAACAAAAAAGTTTATTAAATTTAACTTGGTGGTTGCTAATATATCTTCACTCAAAGTTTAAAAAAATTTTGTATAATTTGTTTTAATAAATATTTTAATTTTTTTAAACTTTAAGAGAAGATATATCGGTAACTACTATACAAAAATTCAATAAACTATTTTTATTTGAATTCTATAAATTTATAGAATTTAAAAAAATTTTATCAAATTTAGATTAAGATATTTTTACTAAAAATTAAAAAAAATATTAGCAAAAAGTATAAATAATAATAAATTTAGAAATATAAAAAATAGGACTCATATTAAATTATAATTTAAGCTAAAATTTTTTTAATTTTTAGTTAAATTATTATTATAATTATATGGAGTCTTTGCCTTAAAAATCACCTTCAGACATTTCTGATCAGATTAATTAGATTAATTTAGACAAAAATAAATATAAATACTAATTTATATTTATATGCTAATCAACCTTAAACTTTATTAATTCAATAGTTTATCAAATAACTATTGAATCAATAAAAGAAAAAGATGATTAACATATCTTTTCTGTATAAAAGATTTTAATTAAATTTCAATAAAGACAGAGACATGGTCTCACTATTAATATTCAAAAAAAAAAGATGATTAACATATAAATATGAATCAGTACTCAGGTTTATTTTTGTCTAAATTAACCTGATTAGAAATGTCAGAAGGTGATTTTCAAGACAAAAATCTAATATATTAATAAAATTATATTAAAATCTAAATCTAAAATAAAAGTTAAAAATAAATTATTTTTGTATTATTTTATTTAAAAATTTTACTAACTATAATTGGTGGTGATTATCATAGTATATAATTAGCCAATAAATTTGCAGAATCAGGTGTAACATACAAATCAATTTGTATAATAACAATAAAATTTTTTTTAAAGAAATACCAATATCTCAAGAATTTGTCTATGAAACTACCTTTAATGTTCTAACAAAAAAAATTTCTTACTAAATTTTGTATAAATTTAATATTTTGCTAAAATATTAGGCTTCACTCTAACTCTAAAGTAAATAAAATAAAATCATTTTTTAATTTTTTATTATTGGCTAATTATATACCAGTAATGATCACTACTGATTATTCTAACTTAAATTTTTTATTTAAAATAAAATTTTTAATATTTTTTTAAAGAGAAATTTATTTATCACATCATGCAATATGCTTTATATATCACTTTTCTAATCAAATTTTAAGATCAGGTATAATATTATACGATCAAAAAATTAAAACAAATATTTATTTTACAAAATTGTCTATAGCTCAAAATTTCATATATAAAACCATCTTTTGTGCTCTAACAAAAAAATTTTTTGCAAAATTTTACTATAAAGCTTTATCTTTGTCTGTACTCTATTCCAACCTAACTCTAATTCTAACTATATAAAATAATTAGTTTTATTTTAGTTGTTTGATTTACATTACACCTGATTTTATAAGATAACAATGATATAAGTGCAATGTATAAATTATCTTTTTTTTAAATAAATAAAATTATAAAAATACAAATATATAAATTAGATTTGCTCTTTTATATAATAAGTTAAATTTACTTTAATAAAAAAAACTGCTTTTTTTAAAACTAATTTTATAATTACAACTTAATTTGATAACAATTATTGTGATATTTTTTAAAAAACT